AGAGTTTATTTATCCAGCATGCTTCCAAAAATTGAATTTGAACAATGGACTGCATTGTTCAGCAGTATTGTTCTGTTTTTTCCATGACAAGTTAGGTCAAAGCATGATAAAAATAGTGAAGGGCCTTCAATTACTTAAATGGCACTAACAACACAGGTACATGTGCAGTAAAGTGCTACCTGGAGAGGGGATACATTTCAGGAATCATTTCACAGTTCACTGCTTCGTGCAGGATGTCTAAACTAAACAGGTCACAATTTTCTTAGCTGTTTATAAGTAACTGGTGAAAATAGTGGTACAATTATTACAAAGGCGACACTGTCAAACAGGTATAAAGAAGTGAATGAGATGAGATCTGGTTATTTGTACCACTGACTCCTTTAAGAAAGTTGGTTTGATTAGTTGCAGTTGTGAAATGCTTTGGCAAACAAATGAAAATGGAGATTAACATAGCTATGCCAGTGGAGTAAAGCTCAGCAAGGTACTAGTACTAGGCTACACATTGTATATATTCTCATACTTTGTTCATATACCTTGAAATGTTATAGCAAATAGTCTTATACATACACATATGTAGGATCACCACATATTTTTAGCAAAACTACCTCAAAAAATGTTTTTTTTTTTAATAGTTTACAATTGGATCCTATGACAGAAAAGTGCCATCATATCCCCAAATTATTCATTGCCTAATGCTACAAAAAATGATATACCGGTATACAACTGTCATGACAAAATTGTGGAATTTTGAATATTAGTATAATTTATCCATGGAAGAATGTATTTACACAGAATCCTATGGTTTCTATGGTCACAGTAAGTAATAATGAATCACTATACACCAAATGCAATTTTTGGTTTATAAGCATTTCTATTTGAGATGCGCTTCCAATAAAGCAAATACAGTACCTATACATGACACCGCTCATACTGAATAATTAATCAAGAATAAATAAACCAGATCATGTCAAGAACATTTTATATTTTATTAGGCATCATGAACTCAAAAACCGAGAACTTGTGATTCTGCATGTGGTGTCACTGTCTATCCATCACCTTCAAATCAGAAAACACTACCTAATTTACTGAACTGGATGGTTTACATTAAGAGAGGAGAACAAGCCGGGCTTTGTTCAAGTTATAGCCTCAGCTTATGCTTCATTACAATTGTATATTGACATAGATGGACGTATTTGACTATTACTATACCAGATGTCTCTAAATGTGAGCCATGGTGGCACAGGTCACAGTATAAATTTCAATATTGTACACTGGAAGAAAGTCACTGTTAACTCTGAGCTCAGTCACCCATGAGTAACCTAATGCTAGGGACCTTTTGCTATATTTTAAGATCAGGGCTGGAGTGTTGACACTCATTGCTATTTCAAACAGCTGAACAGTAACTTGCTTGTCCTAACAACTATAGTAAATATGCGAATCATTCTTTTATGGACGCATTCCACTAGAGTAAATAATTTATTGTAGATGGAATTAATTTTTACTGAAGACATTTTGGTTATTTTGTATGAGTTTATTTTCACTAATTTAGTCAAATGTAATATATAGTAAAATGGGTATTTTCACTGGATTTTATTTTCAGATTCGTCCCTTCAGAGAAAATAAAAAAAAAAACAGGTAAAAATAAAATACTTTACAGTATAGAAGACATTGCTTGTCGAAAAACGGAATAAATAGGAAAAAATGGCGTCTGAAGCTAATGTGTTAAGAAGCGCTCGTATTGTGGCTTATTCAAAATTAGATCATAGCTGTAAAATCAGTCAAGGTATATGTAAAGGCACAGGGCAAGGACTATTCAATTTCCTTAGAAATGAAAGCAAAACAAATTCTTTCATATACAGTACTTCAGATTGTAATTAATGATTTCCAGAAAGACAACTGAGCATATCAGAATACTTGTGCTTATAA